TTATTGATAGACCTAATATTTTCCTATTTGGAGTGTAGGGATTTCTCCCTTAAATTTGTCATTGTGTTGCTCCTAAGCTAATAAATTTTCTAAAACATTTTTCTTTCTTTAATGAAGTAAAAAATTCTTCTCAGGGGTGTGGTATTTAAGTCTGCATTGCACAGGAATGCCTTTCCAACGTACCATAAATGTTTCCTTGCTGTTGCAGGGCAGTTGCATAGGGTATGTTCTATTGTTATTTTTTAAATTTATGTATTTATTTTTTTATTTATCTATTTTTTGGTTGCCTCATAACTGACATACGTTCTTAGAAATTGTTTGTATTCTTTAATTACACAATATTGCAGTTGTTTTTTAATGTGGCTATAGTTTATGCCACAAAGCCTATGTGTGGTCTTAAATCTGTATACATATCCAATTTCCGTGGTATTACAACCGTTAGAAAGCTGCATTTCTCGTTTTCGATTTTATATTAAAAATCATTGGTTTTTCGATAAATGAAATCAACTCAAAAACACCCGAAATGTTTTATTTTATATCTCTGTTTCTGATTTGTTTGCGGAGGCTAGATTTGTACAATTGGGTGTATTTTATAGGGTCCCAAACCCCTGTCAAGATTCCTGAAGGTCGGTTGTGTAGTTTCAAACGTACAACGATTTTTGTCATCTCCGAAAAAATCGGAAGGCGAAAATTTTGTGAAAAAAATAATTTTTCAAAGATTAATAGTCTTGGATTTTCGGTGAGCAAATTCAACAGATTGTTATTTGCTTAAAAAAAAGTATATATATTTTTAACCTACTTATTTATTTAAAGTAGAACGGTTGTAAAAAGGTTTATCCAAAAAATTTTGGATAAAACCCAGTGGTTTTATGAATTTTTAAGTAGAACTCCGTGGAAAAATAAATTGCCTTCGGCGAATCCAGTACAAACATGCGTATATTTTTATTGCTATGAAAGTCGTATAAGGTTGTAAAGGAGGAAAATTTGTATTATGGCGTGTCACACGTTGGTAATTTTACGTTTTTTTAAAATTTATTTATTTCTAATATGCATTTTAGAAACAAAGGTATATGCTTATGGGATAGGATGTGAAACGTCGTACTAGTAGCCTCGTAAAAATAAAAGAAGCAAGTAATTTTGTTTAGATTAAGTAATGTTCGAATTTTGAATCGAGAAAGCATCGGATTATTTTAGAACATTCGAAATTTTGATTAATTAGGTGCAAACATAAAACCAAGAGAATAATTGACAATAATTACAGTTATAGAAAAACGTCCGGATTTGAGCAATTTTTCATAGTGATAAAATCATTTGAAAAACTTACGATTGTTCCAACAAAAAACGTGAAAAATGTACGATGTTTGCTTAGGTAGCAATTTAAATTATATAATGACCAAGAGAGTGGTTATGGTATAATGTTATAAATAAAGATGGCAATGGTTAAGGCGAAAATAACGCAATTCAGCCTTAAAAAGTGATGTATGTATGTGTACTTTCCAAAAGAAAAACCCAATAACAATAAAATTAATAAAATAGTGATATATACATTCCAACATTTTTTTTGTGTTTTCCAATGTGTAGATATTTCCATTTTATGTTTTCATCTGTGGTTCTGGTCCTTTGCCATTGCGTTCTTTAGTGCTTAAATGTCCAAAAGTTGAATTGCTGTGCTTCCTCGTGTATAATAGGTTGTATCAAGTACGATTATGCTGTTATCAGTATCTATGAAATTTATGAATTATTATTTAATTAATGCCTGCATGTAAATTGTCGGAAATTTCTAGTTCAATTCAACGATCGTTTCTTTTAAATTAACTTTTCATTCATAAAGTTTTTTTTTGTCATATTAACCCTTTTTAATTTTAAATTAATATTTTTCGCTAATTAATTATTTTTCATTTCAGATTAACCTTTTTAACTTTAAATTGACACTTTTTAACTTCAAATTACCCCTTTTTATTTTCAAATTAACCCTTTCTTTAAAGAATTTTTTTAAAAACTTATTTATTTCTTAATATTTTTTTTCAATTTATTTGTTACCTATACAGAATTGTATACTATACAAATATGTACGCATGCACTCATTGTGTATGACTAGGTATCAAGGAGGTCCCAAGGCCATCGTCGGTTGAGGCGACGTGGTAGGTTGTCAGGATGGGAATGAGTGGATAGGGCTCGAGCCGTATGGTTAGGATGGTTTTAAAGGTTGGTATGGAAGGTTTGGAATCTGGACTGGATTAGTTCGTTGGCAAAAGGAATGTTGAGGTCTTTGTGGATAGTGAGGTTAGTGACAATAATAAGATGCTTTGACAATTTGTCTAAAGACTTTCGATTGGAAGGACTGGATGCGCTGGATATTGGAAGGCTTGGCAGTGCCCCACAGTTTTACTCCGTATGTCCATATCGGTCTTAGTAAAGTCTTGTATAGTGTTCGTTATGTCTTAATTGTCAAAGTCGATTTCGGTCTTAAATGTCTTCGTAGTAGTCCAAGTCTTATATTAAGTTGCTGTTTTTTAAGCCTTGTGTGGGGATTCCACGTCAGTCTGCTGTCGAGATATAGTCCCAGGTATTTGACTTGAGTAGAAACTGGTATCTCTTTGTTGTTGATTACAATGGAGGGCAAGACTGCTTTTTCAGCGTAAAAGTACACTGAGTGCACTTTTCTTCGTTCAGTCTTGTCCTCCATTTTTACACCAGTCTTCGATAAGCTCAAGGTGTTCTTGGATGTTGGAGGTAGCTTGGACAGGATTCGAGTTACAGGATAGGATTGCGGTGTCGTCCGCGTAGGTGGTGATAATAGTGTCAGGATGTGTTGGTAGGTCAGCTGTATAAATGATATATAGGACAGGACCAAGGATACTACCTTGCGGTATACCGACCTGTGTCTGTTTGACTTCCGAGAATTCATTGCAGCACCTCACTCTGAAACAGCTATCAGTTAGGTAGGATTTCATTAAAAGGTAATAATGGGAGGCGCTTAAGTTTAAAAAGTATACCTGGATGCCAGACCCTGTCGAAAGCCTGTGCTATGTCTATTTCTAAATGTAAGCATGTAAAATAAAATCCCTGTATATTTGTGAATTATTTTCTTAATATTTTATTTTATTTTTTTAAACTAGTCAAATGAGACCACCTTTTAATTTTACAACGGCTAATTTAGTTATAAAACCACTTTAACCCAATCATTAGTGTCATAGTAAGTCTAGTTGAGTTATCTTCGTAACATTTTATAGAACTCAAATGGCTTTGTCCTCTTCAGTCGTCTTACGATGTGCTGACTACCTAGGAGGCGGCTGGCTTCTGTATTCGAGTGTCATTGGAGAAGTACATAGTATTTCACATACTTTGTGATCTCAGTGTGCGAATACCAAGAAGCATCTAGCATATTTTGAAGAAATTTATTTTGGAACTAGCTTCTGTATTGGTATATCTGTATTGTATTGCTTCTATTGGTAGACTACCAAAGTTATATACCATACATCTAGGTTTTAATATGTGAATACAAATCATGATTTTATTTTGTATTTAATCGGGAATTCCGTCCCCGCATCTGATAAAGTTGTCTGTATTTGAAATCAAGTTCTTTCCGTTTCTTTTTGAAACGTTCTTTCCATTTTTATTGGTTTTATCTATTGTCATGCCTAAATATTTAACTAAATTCCGGGATGGAATTACTTAAAGACCGTATGTACTGTTGAAGACGTTTGTCTTCTAATTTTCTATTTGTGAAATTTACATGTATGGTTTTCTGGTGGTTTTTTTGACCTTCCAAGTAAGTATGTGCAGTCATGGATGCTGTTGACTGCCATTTGCGACGGTTATTTTTGTCATCAGTAGGGTAGGTCATTTGTATACTGCAAGTACAGCATGAGGCCTAGGATTCTACCTTTACGCCATCCTTGATTTAAAACAAATCAGAGTATTCGTTTTGTTTAAATAGGAACAGTCTTTCTGAAAGGCAGGAAAACATATTGTTTAGGGAATATTTTTTAGCTTATGTTAAACCTTTTTCTACATTACCGATTTTATGTGTCTGATTAATGGTCGAGTGCTTGGCTCTGAATCCAAACTGGTGGCTTGGTATATTGAAATGAAGAGTTTCAGTCTATTTAGCAAAACTTCTTCGATCTTTTCATTTAATATGAAATAAATAATTGGGCTCTTAAAAGACTGTATGAAAATTAATTACAATTAAAATGAAAATTATATAAAATTAATATAAAAATAAGTGATTATTTTTTAGTTTGAGATTTTTTTATATAAAATAATTCGACACCTATATAAAGTAATGATCTAATTTAGCCCGATTATTATGTATTTAAAAAACTGAAAATAATAGAATGATCACATGTTGTTATATTTAATTGTAATTAATTTTCATATAGTCTAAGAGTCCGATTATTTTATTTTATTTTTTTTTTTAACGTTTTAATATAAAATTAAAAAGGGCTAATTTGAAATTAAAAAAGAGATAACTTGAAATGAAAAGTAGTTAATTTGCAATTTAAAAAGTTTAATTTGAAAGTTGAAAGTATTAATTTGATGTGATAAAGGGTTAATGTGACGGAAAATAAACTGTATTGCGATGTTTGTAAATTTCTCAATGTTTGTTGTAGTAAAAATGGCAAGTAGAAGTAAGAGTTATTTTTTAATTTATATTTCTTTATGTGAAGCAATTTTTAATAAAACTAAACATGTTCATTGTAATTCATCACATTACCTAGAAAGAATTCAATTTTCTTCATGTACTGAATTCTACATAGCGCAGTTGTTTTCTGATCTTCCCTTTAGCGGTTTTTTTGGTCGTTCGGCGTGAATTGTCTATACTAAGTTATGCTTTCATTACGCTCAGGCTCAATGGTCATCATAGGTAACATGCTTCGTTTCAATGAGTTGTATTACAGAATACACCGCCCCCACTCAACTTCTCCGGGTATCCTTGACTGAGGTGGGAGGTGGACGCGGCTAGTCCCGTCCCTGTTTCTGTTTAGTCGAGAATCAAGGAGACGCATCGCGCTGGATTCTGTATATTTACCCTTATACAAAAAATGGACAGGACTATGTACGGCAAGGTGACGCCGGGCACTTACCAGCCCTATAGGTGCGCTTTGAAAAACGGATCATCCCCTGCATGTGAGTTGTTCTTTTCATCGAGTCATGTTGTGTTTACAGAATTTCCTCTTTTTTTTGCGGCGTCCCGGTATCGCCGACTCGTCTTTTAATAGCTCATCCTTCTATCTTTATGACAGGGCCAAAACAACCTCTAGTTAAAGAGCTTGTACCGGGCTCTACGTCCAATATTGTTTACAAGCCAGTATTAAAACACAAAATGATATACTGCAAAATCAACGATTACCTTGGCCGGTCCTTGGACTGACACTTAAACCGATATGCATCAGTTTTACACTTTAGCTGCAATCTTCATCTTACAAAATTCTGTGTCAAGTCTAAAAAATATAATATAAAATATATTTGAATATGACAAAAATTTTAAAAAGTAACACAATGCAACAGCAGCGAAACTATTACAGGTGCGACCTGTTAGTATTGACGTAAAAAATGGGTTTGTTCTACGGTTTAAAACGTTCATCATTTGAGGTATATTTTATTTTAAAGTCCGGCATTTTCTATTTTGACGAGAACTCTTTCAAAAATAGCGTCGCAATTGATAATAACAGCCTAGCTTCTAGCTATATATACTTTCTAAATGTGCATTGGGTTCTCGCCTCATCTAGTTTTTTGTTGTTTATAGTTTGAAATTTTTCTTTCAGAGAAGAACTAGCAGAAATGTAACAATAAAATTCTACGTCTAAGTTTCATTAATATTTATTTAGTCATTGCAACTATTTATGATAGATAGTAAAAGAGAGAGAAATTAATGAATGATTGAACGAATATCGTTTTAGACAAACGGGCAGACAAACAAAGGAAGAGTCAAGGAAATAGGGGGTAAGAGAGATGGTTAGAGGGATGGGATAGAGATAGAGCGATAGAGAAAAGTAGAAAGAGAGAGAGAAAGAAACAATGAGACAGACCTAAGAAGAAACAGAAAGAGAAAGCGATAAAAAAGACGTAAGAACAGAGAGATAGGCGAAGAGTCAGTGAAGGAAATGGAGAATAAGAGAGAAAAACAGAGAGAAAGAGAGACAGGCGAAGAGGCAGGCAAATAGTATTAGAAAGAGGGAAAATGAATCAATATAGTTTTATTCAAAAAATCTCGCAAATTTAGGTCGCGAACGTCCTCTCTTACAATTAGCGAGAAAAGAGAGAGAGAGAGAGAGAAAGAGAGAGAGAGGGAAAGCGTGATAGTAAGGGAGGGATGGAGCGAGTGAAATAGATGAGAGGGAGAGAATGAATGAATATCGTTTCATTTAAAAATTCTCGCAAATTTAGGTCACCTCTCTTACAATAACGAGAGAAAGAGAGTTTATATAGTTAAATTTTGATTTATTGTTTATTTGTTTAAACATTCATAGAATTTCATTTATTATTTATACATAGTATTTGTAATTACATGTGTTTTTATGAGAATGTTAAATTTTTTGAATATACCAAAACTGTTACAATACGGAACTTCACTAGTGTCTATATTGACTGTCTAACTGCATTTTCTAAATATTTTCTCCTAATGTTTGTTGGTTTATCGTCATTCACAATTCTAAATATGTTTGTTTTTCTTCTGCCAAATAAATGGCAAACCTTTCAGTGCCTGAAGTTATGATCCGTGAATAGGCTAAGATGTAAAGACATTTAATTTTGTTTTGCTCTATTTGGCTCTCCAAATATTTTCAGCGATGGAAATTACTTATTCTAGAGCTACTAGATGATATTTGAAATAGTATGTCAATCGTCTGTAGGTAACGTAAAATATGAAGAAAAAGTATATACTGCCGATGTTGGCTAGCGTACATATATTGGTTTATTATGCCTCCTTTAAACTTTCTCTAATAATGGCTTGTTAGTTCCATGGATCTATAATTTCGGCCTTTTGAAAACAAATTACAAACGGATGAAGTGCTTTAATGTTTTCTGTCTCTCACATTCCCAAGTTGCAAGGGTTCAAAGATTTATATTTACTGCTAATTTAATATATTATTTAATGTTGAAAAACCCAATTGCGCTTAACTTTTTGGAAACACGTTGATAAAATCTATCACAGGGAGAGAGAGCGACTCCTTCAGAAACGCTTACTCTGATCAATGACCGATCAAAAAGTGTTTTGTTTCTAAGCTTTCGATCGTTCGGATCAGCAAACAGGCGAAACTTCGTGGAATCGGTCAGGGATTGTCAATATTAGTTTTCTTTTATTGTAGCTGTTTAGATTTCAAGACATGTACTTGTGCGGGATAGTTTTCCTAACTGTTTTTCCTTAATTTATATTCGAAGGAGTTTTCTTATTCCAATGGATATAGTTCAGGAAAAATAGGTCTCGTGCAGCTCGTTTGTTAAAAATTTACCTCGAATTCACATTTCCTCGTAATCGGCCCAATTTTGCTTCCCCGTGTCTCATTGGTTCAACCTTGGCCGTCAATCGGCCTAATTTACATCAACTGCTATTCAAAAAAATTTTTTAAATTTAAATCCCTTTATGGCAAAGTTAAATTGATCAACCTCCGTCTGCGGATGAATCCATTTCAGCAGCTCTAGAACCAAAACCTTCAGGTTTATTTTACTGACTTCTTGGGATAAAATAAGTCGAAAGTCCCATGAAGACAAAGTTGAAACATCTGGTAAGGAAAAGTAACGTAATTTACTCCTAGTGCATTGAGCTTTCTTTTCTCTTTTCTTTCCGGTTATATGTTTTCGATATGGACAAATTAGTTTAGTGATTTCTTTTTTAAAACATTACATTATAAGCAGAAGAACTAATTTGGTTTTTATTCGTCCTGGCCAGTTAGTCGAGTTATTGCATAATTGTGAAATTACACTGGAAGGTCAATTGTCACTTGAATTGAGATCTATGTGTTAATTATTTTAAAAATTGGTTAAAGGAAATTTCAGAATCAACTTTTTTACAGAGTTTAATTATGGTGCTTTCATCATACGATGATCAGCTGTGTAATCATGGAGATGACATTGAAATTAATTTACGATAGCCTTTTGGAAAGGAAAAAGGATAAATGCAATTTTTAACTTAAGCAGTTTGTTTTTGGTTTTTTATGACAATATTTATTTTATGTCTGCTCCATGAATTTTCTTGGTTTTCAGCTTGAGATTCACGGCTTAAAAAATAGGACATAGTCTGACATTAATCTATCGCTAAAATCTCATAAACACTTCAGTTTTATCCCGTGCCCATTCACTTTATTTATCCGAGTTTTCTCGGAAGACATTTATTTTCATAGTATGTTAACCAATGGCATTTCACTTCCTGGACGTTCTTATCCCTCCTAACAGTGTTAGTTTTTATTTAGATCCACATCTAATAATATCGCTTTCCATCTTTTTGTCGGGACAAAGGCGTCTGGATGGTAGATCAAAGGCTGTTAAAATCCACCAGGTCGGTACCCCCTTGATCTCCGGGCTGTAGGAAATATTTTTATATCTTGAGAATGACGAGAGAAGACGAAAGGCTAAAAGAACTGTCTATGTTGAACAGTCAGTCTTAAAAAAAAAGTTTTATAGTTATAAATACAAAACAACAAACTATTTGGAAATAGAAATAAATTTACAGTAGTTTAATATTTTTTCTTAACAATCAGTTTATTTGGCATGAACGATTGTGTATCTTGTACCATTAGATTTTTTAGAAAATGTAACTTATATGAAAGAAAAATAACGTACTTGACGGGCCAGTAGGATGTAAACTGCTGTTGTAATTTTGTTACTTGTCCAATGATTTTTTTTTTTTTTTAAGTATTTGCATTCGAGCTACAAATTGTATATGTTTTATTATCAAGCGAAAACGCAGACAGTTATATTTACAAAAGAAAAACTGAGATTTTTATTTAGATTTTGTTTTGTCCATTTTTGTTTCTTTCCTTGAACGTCGATTTTAGTTTATTTCGCGATTCATAAATCATAAAAAATTCATGAAGATATTTTTTTTTCCAAAGACAGAAATAGCAAGGAGTGGCGCTCCAACTTTTATTGCGTCTGAATGTAAAAGAGCTGCGAACTTTTTTTTTTATTATTGTTTGACTAACTGTTCAACAAAATGATCAGTAATTTAAGAACTAACAAGTCAATTTTTTAACCAAGTCACAGTAGTTAGTTAATTATTCGTTAATTTTAATTTAAGTTATCAGTAAGATACAGTATGAATTATAAACGTCATAATTTTTTTCATACCTTCTACAGAAAAAAATGCAAGAATAGACTGGCAAGAGGTTTTCATCAGCCTGTAGTTATTTTGTAATACATTGTCAATGCTTCATTTTATTAAGTTAATCTAAGTAATTTATAATTTATCTTCTACCAATAGAAAGTTAAAATCACTATCAACGTTTACATAAAACAATTAATTAAAGTTTTTTAGTTGAGATAAAAAAGTCAATGGCACGAGCGGGATTCGAACCCACGATCTTCGGCTAGATACGCCGCTGCTCTACCACTTGAGCTATCGTGACCTCGATCCACTCGGACACTAACTTCTCATCTCAACCCCACCTTTTGAGTTTTCCCTCCTTTTGCCATTTTTCAAATGTCGTGTAATTGGATTGGATTCTCGACGACAAATGAAACGGCCACGGAGAGCTTTAGTGAAGTGTACTTCATTTTAATTCATTAAATTCACTAATTTCGTGGTCCGCTTGACCAATTAATATATTACAATTAATTAAGGTTTTTAGTTGAGATAAAAAAGTCAATGGCACGAGCGGGATTCGAACCCACGATCTTCGGCTAGATACGCCGCTGCTCTACCACTTGAGCTATCGTGACCTCGATCCACTCGGACACTAACTTCTCATCTCAACCCCACCTTTTGAATTTTCCCTCCTTAAAAAACCTTAATTAATTGTAAAATATTAATTAGTCAAGCGGACCACGAAATTAGTGAATTTAATGATTTATACTTCACTAAAGCTCTCCGTGGCCATTTCATTTGTCGTCGAGAATCCAATCCGATTACACGAAATTTTAAAAATGGCAAAAAGGAGGGAGTGAATGGAGGTCACGATAGCACAAGTGGT